TTATTCTAAAATTACTCATTAAATAAAACCCACAACTTCAGTGGTAACAGTAAAAAATATGTTATATCTTACAAATAATTAAAAAAAGATGTATAAACATTGTGAAAGTGTCGCATTTTACAATAAAAGACACCGATTTAGCGAAGATGACGTCATTAGTGCGCTTGCATCAGGGAATTCAAGGTTAAAAGGTCAATTCAGACGCTGATAAGTTATTGGTCGAGCCTTTTTGTTTCCTTTATTCCGACAAAATTATACAATCAATAAAAACAAGTTTGATACCAGAAGAAAGCTAACAATTATTATTTTCATTAACCGCTTGCCCCCAAAGTCTCTTGACCACAGTGAAACGAGTGAGAGCTTGCGAGAGCGGCCAAAGTGTGATTGAAACTCGCTATTTGCTCTTCTCCAACGCAAAAAGAGACGACATTGTGCTCGATAAATGTATTTTTTCCGACAAAAGTACAGAAAATTTGCATATGGTCTTTTTATATTATACTTTATGAAATGTTACCCGAGTGACTTCCGGGCGCCCCAGTGCTGGAAAGAAAAGCACATTTGGGAAAACTTCACTTTTTCATGGAAAAATGCTTATTTGTTCTATGCACGCAAGTCAGATTGAGCGGATAATACAACGTTTCCATATGCACATTAATAATTGATTAGTAAAGTGTGTAGATGCGCAACTTCAGCTTGAGTCGCCTTTTCACCCCCACCTTTCCCTTCCCTCTCTGCATGTATCCCTGCATGGCTGTCCCTTTACATTCCCTCTTGCTTTAATTCCTACTCTATACCCATCCTTTTCCCCTCTCCATGTTGTATGTACAGATAGCATTTTTAGTCTGCCTGTCCATAATCGCCTCTCTGCATGTAACTCAACCCCCACCTCCTCGTGGTACTAATCGGATACCTGGGCCTCGCTGTCTGGAAAACTGACAGGGGCTCTGGGTACACACAGAGAAAATTAGGTATAAATTGACTCCCTATAAGGAGTAAGTGCTTGTCGCATAAGTGACACCCCTAAGGGGGTAAATTTACTCCTCAATGTAGGGAGTAAATTATTATTTTTTCATAAGAAGTTGTAAACTTGCACCCCAAGGTTATGAATGTACTCCCTTTAAGGAGTGAAATTTGCACCCAATGGTGCTCATTTCACATCTTTTGGTTCCATTTTCATGAACAATGGGTTCAAATTTACACCCTTGGGGTTGAATTTTATACCCTTTATGATCGATTCGACACCCTGTGGGTAGTATATCTACACCCTTTGTATGCACAGCATCAACCAATTGATCATCCCTCGAGCAATCAATCTTTCATGCTTCGTAATCACCTAACAATCACTGATTCTCACCCTTTTGTCTACGTTTCCCTGCTCTAAAGAAATCAGACCAGAATGTCGAGTTATATGTTGAAAGGCTTTACATGCTTACCTTAACAACAATTACTGTGAACTCAACACACGTGCAGACTGTAAGAACTAACTTATGGCTGGAAGTTTCGGTTCAAATATAATGGAATTATGTAAAAACACAATCCTGCCTACCGAATATCTTTCCTTTACTTACACTTCTAAGAAGACAATTCGTCGCTGTTTTCACGAAGTGACGGTAGTGAAAAAAAATTGCATTCACTTTGCGTTACGATTTTCCTCACTACCGTCACTTTCTGAAAACAAGGACGAATTATGTACTAGTTAGTAAAACAACACTTTTGCTAATTTCATTAAATTATCAAATATAACCCTCGGTACAACCCCTTATTCTTGATCGGATAACTTTCACACAAATAATATGCCCAAATGAAACATGATAATTCCCCTAACATGACTAAAATATGTGAATTATGCTAATTTGTCTTCGTTTGGCAGTACCTATATTGACACGATGCGCCATTGCTGTAGCGCATGCGCATATGCATTGACCAATCAGAGCTCGTCTGACTAAAATAGGGTGTAAAATTACATCCCTCAAATATACACCCTTGCGTATTTCCGTGTTTTACTCCCTAAAAAGTGTAATAGTTTTTTTCATTTTCGTTTTGCTCCCCAAGAACACCTTTTTATTTCTCTGTGTGTAGGGAAGGAAAACCCAATAAAACCTCAGGAGTGGGGTGGCGGCCTTCTCCTTGAATCAACAGAACATTGTTGTACCAGACTGGGAATTTATTGACCGCGTGCCCAGTTTATGTGCTTTAACCACATAATAATAATAATAATAATACATAACATTTATTAGGCGCTTAATACTGATGTTTCTAAGCGCACAGTGTTCTGATTAAGAGAAGACTATAACCCGTAGAATTAAATTAGAAGAAAAAGCAAAAATACAAAAGTAACATAGATAAGGTAAAAAAAACAGTGGCAATCAACTAAATAAAGACAAATATGGTGCGCACCTCCATTGACCGACGCACATGTCAAAATTCCTTCGGGAAATCTACCAATCATGAACAAAAATCCAAAGCCATGGCCCCGAGTCCCGGTGGCTGCTATACACGGCAGCATAGCGGCAGGGGTGCGAAGAATCTGCCGGTATTTTCAAGGCTGCCATCCTCCTTACAGGTACAAGTCGCAGAAGGAACAGCATACAACCCAAGGAAGAAAACTTCAGAGAATACAGCAAAGAAGAGGACAACAGAAAATCGAGCAATAAAAAGTAAGATTGCGCCATCAACAAGGAAGGCCAACAAAGTACAGCTAAGGGGAACAAGTGTTAGTAGGCCAATTGTAACGATGCATCCCGCTCGTCAAGGGAAGTTACCTGATATGACTAAGGATACACCTGGTGGGATCAAAGTTGGGGAGAAGGTGAAAACTAGAGGCTTGAGTATAGCAGCCTGGAATGTGAGGACAATGAAGACAACCGGGCACTGGGACATTTTAATGGAGGAAGCTAGAAGATTTCAACTGGACATCCTTGGCCTTAGCGAGACACACCTCACTGATGCAAAGACCCTCATTACTAAAGATGGGTACACCTTTTTACAGTAAAGCCGAAAAGACAATAGAAGCCGTGAGGGAGTTGGCATAATGATTTCACCAAATATACTCCACTGCCTACTTGGTTATGAAGCAGTATCATCCAGAATGATTACAGCAAAATTCCAGATGAAGGGAGGAGTCATGAATATCATTCAAGTTTATGCACCCACAAGTGGACATAGTGATCAAGAGAGTGATGAATTTTATGATCTGCTTCAACTACATATCCAAAAAATCCCGAAGAAAGAGAAGTTAATATTTATGGGGGACTTTAATGCCAAGATAGGATCAGACTATAAAACATGGACTTCTGCCTTAGGCAAGTTTGGACTTGGAGTGATGAATAGCAGAGGAGAAAAGCTAATGGAGTTCTGTATGATCCATAGGCTAGCAGTCTGTAACACATATTTCCAACATAAGGACTGTCGAAGAGCAACTTGGAACTCGCCAGGTGGCCTATATAAGAACCAGATTAATTTTTATCTTGGTGTACCAAGATGACTTAAAGAGCGTGTACAGTACATGTACAGTTTCACCAACCAAAAGCTAGAAGAATAAAGAGCGTACAGAAGTCATATGATGTGGGCAGGTTTAAAAACCCATCTGTTGCTGAAGAATTCCAAGCCCGAATTGGTGAAGCGTTTGAACCATTGTTGCTGCTGGAAGATACATACATAGATGAGCTCTGGCTGAAGTTCATGAAAACAACCAATGAGATTACCAAGCAAGTTGTTGGCATCAGGAGAGGGAAACAAGTAAAACATCTCCCAGAACATGTGAGAGATGCTTGTGAACTCAGAAGGAAGGCTAGGGTAGCTAAACTGAACTCCCCTCATAATAATCATAATATTATGAAGTATCGGCGCCTTAACAAAAAAGTTAAATATGAAGTCAAAAAGTGGAAGAGGGGACTCTCAAGAAAGAAGTAGAGGAAATGGAGGCAGCACAGGCACGAAATGACAACCATGAGCTATAAGAAAGTAAGAAAACTAGCTGGTGAGAAGGAGAAGATACAGCTAGCAGCCAAAAACAGAGAGGAGGTTATTAAGACTGCTCCAGGAGATGTTTTAGATTGTTGGAAAGAACATTTCAGCACCCATCTTTATACAGAGGTCCCGGGAGACACCAACACACTTCGCAATATACCTGAACCTCCTCCTACTGAAAACCAGACTTCACCTTTTACTATAGAAGAGGTTCAAGCTGCGATCAAGGCTCTAAAGAATAACCAAGCAACTGGATTTGAAACACTGAAAGCTGGAGGTCCAGCAATGGCACAGATATTTTACTGAAGATCGTCAACACTGCTTTTACACAAGGCAAGACACCAGTTGAGTGGAGCAAAGGCCTTATTATCCCTGTGTACAAAAAGGGGGATAAACTTGACCCAGCTAACTACCGAGCCATAAAACTGCTATCAGTGCCGGCTAAAGCTTTCTGCAGGATGGTGCTCAGTAGGATCCAAGAGATAATTGAAGAACATTTATAGGAAGAGCAGTGTGAATTCCGGAGCTCTAGAGGAACCACTGATGCTATTTTCATTGTCAGGCAAGTGCTGGAGAAGGCCAAAGAGAGACATATCCCCATTCATTGGAACTTTGTGGACTTCAAAGCAGCATTCGATACTGTCTGGAGGGATGCTTTACGGAAGTGCCTTCTTTCAATAGGAGTTGAGAAGAACCTGATTGACCTCATTAAGTATATGTATGATCAGACCAAATGTGCTGTCATCGTAAATGGTAAGGTTACGGAATGGTTCCAAGTTATGACAGGCGTCAGGCAAGGCTGTCTTCTTTCCCCAAGTCTGTTCAACATCTTCCTAGAGTTCGTGATGGCAGATGTCAAAAACCTAGACAGTGGAGTTCAGATGGATGGCATACGCATTAACAACATCCGCTATGCAGATGACACCACTCTACTCGAGCTCATCTATGAAAAACTCCAAATATCAACAAACAAGCTGGTGGAAGTCTGTGGTAAATAGGGAATGAAAATCAACACAGCTAAATGCAGAATCATGACAAACGATGATGAGGAGACTTCAATAGATGGCAACCCTATAGAGAAGGTAGAAGACTTTGTCTTCGTTGGAAGTGTAGTCCCCTCGGTTACCAAATATGTCAAGAGACGCACAAATGTAGGTTCCTGGGCATTTTGCAGACTGAGAAACAATATATGGACCAACCAAGATAATTCAAGAGCCCTGAAGGTCAGAGTTTATAATGCCCTCATTCGTCCTATAGCCACGTACGGGTCAGAGACGTGGATGCTAAGGAAAACTGACCGGGATAAACTGGAGACCTTTGAGATAAGATGTCTGCGGACAATAGCAGGAGTCCATCTTCTAGATGAAATTAGAAGCGTAGACATCAGAAAGTCATTGAAAATCTCCAAGACAATAAATGAGGAAATATCCAACCGCCGCCTGAAATTGTTTGGACATGTGGTACGTATGCCACAGGAATTAACGCCTACCAATACAAGTCCACACCAATGACTTTACTGTGCCACGGCCACCAGGACGTCCTCCCCTGAGGTGGAAAGACCAAATCCGCCAAGACTCTGGATTAAGCCTGGAGGCTGCCCGACACCAAGCCCAGGACAGAAAAGAATGGAGGCAGACCACCCGTAGGAGCGCAAGGGGACACTCCGTCTTGTGCTCTTAAGTCAATTAATCACATTAACATTAATCAAAGGATTACCGAAGAGATGAACGTAATTTGATTGTCCTCCATGCAAGTCATTAGGGACTTTTAGATTTGCACGAAGACAAAGGTGGATTGCTACGATCGACGTCCTTTTAATGCACTGCCTTGAATGGACGTCACACGTATCAGTCCTCAACCTCTCTACCTCTCTAGATCTTCATCGTCTTCATCATCATCATTATCATCATCATCGTCATCATTTTCGTCTTCATCATCATCATCATCATCATCATCATCAATGTCACCACCAGCACAAGCACCATCTTCACCTTCATATTCAATGCCATCTACCTCCTGCTCCTGCTCCCCCTACTCATCATCATCATCAATTTTATCCTCAGCATCATCATCGCCACCATCTACATCATTATTATCATCATCATCATAATCATCCTCAGCATGATGATGATGATGATGATGATGATGAAGATGATGATGCTGATGATGATGATGATGATGATGAAGGTGCTGATGCTGCTGCTGCTCATGACGATGGTTATTATTATGAAAAATGATAATGATGCGGAGGATGCAGTGAAGAAGAAGAAGATGACATAAATGATATTAAGGACGCTGGTGATGATGACCATGTTTGTTATTATTTTCTTATTTTTCTATTTTTTCTCGGACGTTCTGCAGACGTTCTGATTTTATACAGGAAATTACTTCCCCTCCCATCCATATTTATCTCTCTTCCTGTTTTCTATAAATTGTCCTCCTTTTTATTATAGTTCTAGTCGATTTCCAATGCACGTTTTAATTATTATAATCATAATTACTCTCTTTATTGGGTGGATCCCGCAGTGGACGAAAAATAAGGATATTGTATAAGTTATACAAATGGATGTATTACCTTTGTACATATACCAATCTGGGATCCTCCTCAATAAAAGGTGATAATGTACTGTAGGAATGAACATTTCATCGTGGTAAAAGCCCCTTTCAAGTGTTGGGAGCCCCAAAGTGGCAACATTTCACTTGAATTGTGAAATGTTGTGAAAAGAGGATGTCATTTAACACTCGAATCTGCAAGTATTTTCGAAGCAAAAGTGTTTGAAGACAAATATTGATGAAAGAATACAAAACTTGGGTTTTTGTGTCTGTATGCAGAAAACCTTAATTTTGTATTCATCAATATTCGCCTCCAAACAATTTTTTTCTAAAAATCCTTGCGAAAGTAAGTGTTAAATGACAATCATCCTCTTTCACTACAATTGAAGTGATTTTTGCCATCAAATTTGTTGGGCTCCAAACACTTGTTAGAAAGGCTTTAACAAGATTTGAATTGTCACGGATTATATATTCTAGGTTTAGAATTAAGGTATGATATGTTTTTTATCTCGCAAAATTATCAGATATATAAATTATTAGATATATATATATATATATATATATATATATATATTGAAGTTGACAAGGATCAAGATCGCACCTGAGCGTCAAGTCGTGACGTTAAAATGATGTCAATCCCGTCCCCAATTCCAAAGTTGTTCACCAAATCATACATGCAACACAACTCACAAGCAAGATGAAGGCCAAGCAGTTGATTATTATTTCGTGCTGCCAATTTTACTGTTTAGTGTTACATGCCAATCGGGTTACTCTTAATTAAGCCTCGTTCAGATATGTCACAGCAAAATTGCGGCGTTTTTTCTTCATTTATTCTTCTAAATATATATATATATAAATATATATACATATATATTGTATTTATATAGCGACGTAAAATGTAATGCGATTTAGATTGCTCAGTGTGATTGCTTCAGCGCGCCATACCTGAACAAGCCTTTAGTCTTTACAGGTGAGGCAAAAAAGAAGATTCAATTCAATTCAATTTAGTTTATTTCACTTCTAATTAAAAACCTAAAATAGCGATGACATTTTAATACATTATACATCGTCTGAGTCTGAATAAATTCATCCCGTCCTGTCTCCGACATGAGGTGGCGCTACACCCCTTACATCTTCCACTTATGTTAAACCATGTTATTGAACAAAGTTGAATGAATTCACTTTTGCACTTACTATCATTTTGAATTCTTCAGTTTCCATCAAACCTATCATATCAACCTTTACATTATTGTTGGATTTAAAATCCGGATACGTAAATTTAAATTATTAGTTGTTTAAGACACACAGTATCAATATTCAAACTTGTTTTTAACTGAAAATGCTAACTCCAAAAAGACGCTTTAAGCAGGGCTCCCACTAAGCCAAGTTGGAGCCTCGAGTTGTGGCGAGCTGGCGCGATCTTATAGCAAGCAGTTTTATCATTAAAACATATTTCTTGATATCAAGAATTCAATTCTTGATATCACGAAATCGATTTCCTGATATCACAAAATCGAATTCTTGATATCAAGAATTACCATTGCTTTACAGCATAAAATTATTTCTTGATATCAATTAATAATAAAACGGCTTGCCATACTCTCTTAATTTCTAGGACTTATTTTAAAGTCCAAAGAATTTATTCTAAAGCCAAGGGGGACTTGGATCAGTCACTGATCTAAGTCCCCCTTGGCTTTAGAATAAATTATTTGGACTTTAAAATAAGTCCTAGAAATTAAGAGAGTAAGATCGCGCCAGCTCGCCACAACTCGAGGTTTCACCTCGGCTAAATGGGAGCCCTGCTTTACACTTTGGCTCCAGAATATCTATATAAAATGATACAATGTTTAATTACCAAGTCCACATAACTATAACAAAAAAACGTTTCTGTACATAACTTAGTCATATGAATCTGGTATTAAAGTATTACGTCAAAAGATATTGTCTTTAACTCTCATAAGTCATTTTGATAGTTCCTTTCTTTTCTTCCTTCTTATTTTTTTTTTTTTTTTTAAACAAAGAATCCGTAAATGAATGTAGTCCTACTCATTGAGCTTATGGAAATAATAACAGTTGTAAAACATTGCTGAATTCACATCATATTAAATTCATGAATGAAAATTACATCAAAATACTACTGTTACAATACTTTCAACATAAACCAAATATCAACTACTACCGTATTTTTAGTAGAGTAAATAATTTTTAGTCGAGTGCAGTGCTTTTAGTACAATGGGCTAATATACATTCAATGCAAGGACTTTCAGCAGTTACATAAGCATTTAGAAACATTGAAAACAAATACTAATGTCCTTTGCTTTATAATTGGACACATAAATATTTTTTAGTAAGGCATGTCAATCAATAATACTGTAACTACAATAATGATAACTGTTTTGATAAATTACGCACACATCATTATCAGCAATGTCTCATGACGAATACGCGAGGACGCTGGACTAAATACTATTTCAAACTTCGAACTACGGTTACTTTTCTCCAAATTTTGATTTGAAAACCTCATTTATTTTCTCTTTCTTAAGAAAGTAGATGAATTCCGTTTTTTCTCTCGCCTCATTCCCCTATAAAGCGCATTATCAGCTATAACAAGCTACAATATAACAAGCGCTTACGGTATTAATATTACCCGGGACATTGGCTACAATTAGTATTCCGCACATTGAAGAGCACATTCTCCACTCCCTGGGTAGCATTCCAACTTGTCGCCATTATACCTTCGTATATCCTACAGGCTACCCCTTTAACACCTGGGTGGAGAGAAGCAATGTAGATAACATGTCTAATTGCTCAAGGACATAACTGCCGTGTCGGGCTCTAACCAACGACCTTTCCATTCCCAGTCAAATGATTAAACCAATCGACTACGACACCTCTCCCAAACAAACGCTACATTTACTTTAGATTTCAGATAAGGAAAGATTTATTTAATCTACGACAAAATCATGAAAAGTCCAAAAGTAAAACTTTTGATACTCAATACAAAATCTTTACCAGCGAAATATTCAACTGCAATCGTCACCAATGCAGAAGCGACGCTCCCGGGGGCAGGGCATAGTGTCCCCACTTTTTCAAGTACCCTTAAAAACTGCCATGATAAATTCGTAAGAAGTGCCCCTATTTACAAAGTAAAAGTGCCCTTTTTAATTTTGAATGTGCCCCTATTACTTTTCACCTATGATAAGTGCCCCTTTTATTTTGACACCTGCCCTTTTTCCTTCGACAAGTTTCCATTTTTCTTTTGCAATAAGTGTCCATTTTCTGTTCTCATACGTGCTTTTTTTAATCTCTAGTAAGTGCCTCTTTTCATGTACGAGTAGTGCCCCTTTTCATTTTTGATAAGTGCCTCTTTCACCTCTGATAATAACCCTAACAAATTTAGGAGGTGCCCCTTTTCCTTTGTAAGAAGAGCCCCTTCCCCCTTTCTACTCCTTTCGAACTCCGATAAGCGCATCTTTTATTTTGACATGTGCCCCTTTTCTTTTATAATAAAAACCACTTCCCCCTTCTCATAAGAGCCCCCTAAAATATGATCGGTGCCCCTTTTCTGTCAACAAATGCACATTTTTCTTTACTATAAATGCCCCTTTTTCATTCTCATAAGTATCCCTTTTCATTCCTGGTCACTGCCCCTTTTCATGTCAGATAAGTGCCCCTTTTCACCTCTGACAATTCTCCTGTCAACAATGATACGTACCCCTTTTCTTCTCTAGTAAGGGACCTATCCCCTTTTCACCTCTTATAAATACCCTTTCACCTCTGATAATTTCCCTTTAAACAATGGTACTTGCCCGTTTTCCTTTCTAATAGGGGACCTATTCCCTTTTCACCAATGCCCCTTTCCCCTCTTATAAATGCCCTGTTCAAAATCTGATTGGTGCCCAATTTCCGTCTAAAAATGCCCATTTACCATTCTCATAAGTGACTTTTATCATCCCTGGTTGGTGCCTCTTTCCATTTCCCCTTTGATAATTACCCTTTGTACTTTGACACGTGCTCCTTTTCGTTTCGTCAGGCCCGGTCACACAGCCTTTCGCGTCTGTATCGCGGGTAAAATTTCGCGAGTTTTTTTTGCCCGCGGTTGCCCGTGGTGGAAAATGTGCAAAATTGGCTTACCCGCGGTTTACCCGTGGTATGCCCGCGGAACAGACGCCGGCGACTGTTCCGCGTCCTTATCGCGGGTGAAGCGCGGCGGTACCGCGGCCTACCACGCTTACACGCGGTACACACGCTAATGCACGTGATAACAACGCGGTACAGACGCGGAACAAACGTGCTATAACCGTGCTCCACCCGCAATTACCCGCTAAAATTTCGCGTCCAATTCCGCGTGTAACCACGTCTTAACCGCGGCCGTAGCACGTTCTAGCACGTTCGTTCCGCGTCTGTACCGCGTCTTTACCGCGTGTGTACCACGTGTACCACGTGTACCGCCCGCGATTATCCGCGGTCTAAATTTTTGGGCAGCCCAAAACTTTTTCGCGCGGCCAACCGCGTGTGAATTTCTTACCGCGTGTAACGACGGGTAAAGTACGGCTGTATCGCGTCTTTATCGCGACCTCAAAGCGTCCAACAGCGTCTGCTTCACGGGCAGAAATTTTTGGCCGTGATTCGGCCGCGATACGCCCGTGGAGGGCTGTGTGACCGGGCCTTAATAGGTGCCTTATCCCTCTCGATAAGTGTCCCCTTTTCCTCTTATCATTAAACGTGCCCCTAGTTTAAAGCGACTAAGAGCAATTTTCCCCCATAGCTCGCTCGCTACACTCCCTCGCATTGATTTATAGATGATATAATTATGTTACTTATCAAAGGTTTTTAGTCTTCCATAAGGAGAATGTGCTTATAACCCCATCATGATTGTGTTTTTTCCACTTTAGAAGATGTAACTTTTTGCACTACGACCTCACAAATCTTTTCCATGCTAGCTTCCCTTGCTCGCAAATGAATATTCAGACCATCACATCCAACTGCAAAGTATGATGCTTAAGCCATATATTGTATGATATATAAAGAGAAACAAATATTTAAGGATCCCAGATAATGTAATCACAATATAGGGGTTCGTGCCAATGTCTCAAAATTGTATATTTTCGCTTTAAGATTTCCCTTTGAAGGTGCCCTTTTCTTTCTCCAGAAAGTGCCCCCTTTTGTATGGTGCCCTCCCACTTTGGAAGTCGCTCCGCCGCCCCTGCACCAATGTGACCTAAATTGACCTTTCTGACATAATCGGCAAAATAACTACTATGAGTCAGAATCTAATAAAACATATAATCTCAAACATTTGGCAGTTAATGGCTGTATTGTATCCTCTGTTATCCATCAACATTATCATATTGAGTAGTTATAAATCGCATTTTAACATGTATATCGACAATGCACTATATAAATACATTCTTGTTAGCAGTAGCAGTAGTAGTAGTAGTAGTAGTTATATTTACATGAAACACAGATGTATATCGAATTCTAAAATTGTAAATGTATTTTGCAGTCTTATTTAAGGGGAAAAAAAAAATTCGTATCACTCCAAATGTACTCCTTGTTGACCCTCGAATTTACCACTTTCAGTCAGTATCTACATTCTGGTTTAAAGGGGACATCCACTTTGATAATAAGATGGTTTTAATAAAAGCACAACAAATGATAAGAACAGGTCAGTGAAAGTCCAATCAAAAATAATGTTATGAATTTTTGAAGTTGCGATGAATTAAACACAAGTTGGCTCTTTGTACATTAAATTGTATACAATTTAATGTTCTCCGTTCTTGATGACGGAATAGAATAGTTTCCCATACTTGGAAATAGAAACATTATTATTTGCAATAACCATTAGATAGGGCGCATATATCATGGAACATTTTCTCGAGGGAAAATAAATATTGATTTTTTTTTTTTTTTTTAGTACAGAGCAAATGGGAGGGGAGCTCACAAGATACGTCACAGAGTTGCCAATTTGTGTTTGATTGATTGCAAATTCAAAAATGTATAAAACTTTTTAATCGGAATTTGCAGCACGTTCCATGTGCTCCCGAATCGAGTGGAAAACCAACGTGCTTTTGTACTTTGCATCATACAATGGCTTTTGGGCTTTATTTTCATTGAGTTGATTTCCCATCCATGTTACAAGTTCAAATAAATTGCACTCTGTTTCTCCCATATTTTTACATCAACTTAAATTCTATCACCAGGTAGTTTTGCGCATGATGGAGAAGCATTTATTTTCCCCACATTTAGCAAACCCTCTACCAAATTGTAGAGCATTTTCCGTGCATCTTTTCCTGCTGTTTTTCACATTACCAATAGCGTTTCAACATCTTTGGTGGTGACTTTGACGTCTGTTAATCTCTGACTTTTGGCCCTTTAGATGTACATGTTTCTCTGAATGAACCAGCTCTTCTTCGTGGCATCAGGAATCCCAGAATTCTGCTTGGAGTTTCCCCCGCTATACATGCAAGCACATTACTCATTCAAATCTGACAATTTATCATGGAGAATTAAAAGACATACACAACGCAGTATTCGTATAATTTAGATGCTATAGCACAATAAATATTTCAATAACTAAACCAATTAATTCATGTATAGATAGATTATTAGATAGATAAATGAATGAATAAAAAAGATTAAATAAATAAACTAATCAATTTATTGATAACCCATTATGGTTCAAGTGTTAATACCAAGTACTTCGATTCTCATAGACGCCCACTCAATTAATGTTAGAGGATGAATCGTGATGTACCGTGCGGTAACTGGCTCAGGAAACAGTATCGTCACATATGTGGTAACATCAAAATTACCTGCATATGTCTGAAAAAGAACGAAAGCAATGGATAATGTTTATTTCTAATAATGATGATAATAATGATAATAATAACAATAATGAATAATAATTTTATTAATCAGAAAAGCCTCATCAGTATAACTGCTGCTTTTCCCAAGGGCCATGAAATTTATATAACCCCCGGAAACTTCCAGGTACCCATTTACACCTGGGTGGTGAATGGCAAATGTTGATTTAATGTCTTGCCTCGAATCACTCGGTATAACTCTTCCATGAGAAGTACAATATGGCACAGAGACTTTCTCGCCAAGGCACATAAATAATTGATGTTAATGGAACTTTTTGTACTTATAAAATACTTTTAAAAAAATCCTTTAATTTCGCATAGGCCTACTAGGAAATTCATCCTTTGAGATGTGTAAATTTATGTAGATATGGAAAAATAATTGCATGCAAAAACAATAAAGAATTAAAAAAAATACATAAGTATATAAGTAATACAAAGAGCATTACAAAAAGGAAGATGATAGATTTGACAAAAAAATGAAATAGGCATTTTCTGGAAGCGCGAAATGACACTCACTTTTCGTACCCCACACTGCTCTTCCAGAGCAAAGGTCCAATTTGTATTGTCCCTTGAGTAGGAGATTTGGAATGACGTAACCCTTTGGTTCGTTCCGGTCCGTCCCTGTGTGATAACACCAGTTACCAAAGTATCCTCGCCGAGATCGACCTTTGTGTGATTTTAATGATGAAAGGAAGAAAAATATTGATATATCCGATGGCAGATTATCTTGCATTTGATAGCAATGCTAAGGAAAAGCAATATATAAAAACATATGAACCATTTGAGCACATGTTCCCTTCAATATGAGCAAATCGAAAGGGCTGGTCAAATTTGAATGATATACGATGTATATAACAGTTATGTGTTTGTCTCCCCCTCTCCCCCTTTCTCTCTCTCTCTCTCTCTCTCTCTCACTCTCTCTCTCCCCATGTCACCCTCTCTTCTTCTCTTTCTCTATCTCTCTTGCTCTCTCTCGCCCTCTCTCTCTCTCTCTTTCCCATGTCACTCTGAAAAAGAGAGAAATGATGGGAAAGGGAGAGATTTGGAGAGACAGAGAGCGAGAGATGATGGAAGAGGGTGACATAGGGAAAGAGATAGAGAGCAAGAGAGAGAAAGAGAGAGAAAAGGTGTGATAGGGAGTGAGAGAGAGGAAGACGAACACATAGCTGGTATATTTACATCATATAAAATTAGTGTTCCATTGAAAAAGTCTTTCCATTTAAGTTTGTGGAAATGCATTTTCTAAGTAATTGAATGAGAAATCACCTCCACAGCACTAGTTTCTACGTTTTAAAACTTCATCAATGTTTCCAAATATTTGAAATCTGTATACATATTATATTGAAAGGATAGTGTATTACGGGATATTCATTGATATATATATATATATATATATATATATTAGCGGTATGATAATCAAATACATGATCAAAAGGCAGATACACAAAGAACATAAACTATAGGGGTAACTAAACTGTGGAGATTTCATTGTGTAACAGCGATTCCAAGTAATCAATGTTATGAAGTCAAAATGTCCCCCAATCCCTCTCAATAGTATACTAAATTGAATGCACGTAGTAAGAAATTGATCAACAAAAATGAAATTGAATGCCCCAAACAGGCCAATCGTAAGCGCCGCGTTAATCTGAACGCACGAAGTAGGAAATTGTATACGCACATTCGTAAATTTGATTTCACCGAACATGAGAATAAGAGTGCCGATAAATGAAACTTATTGCTCGGATTTTTAATTTGAATGCCCGAATTCACCTGCGAGCGATTTTAAATACAATACTTTATTGAAAAAAAAAAGAAACAAAACTTAAGATTAAAAGAGTTAAAGTATAATTTAAATTTCAGTTCGGTTACAGAAGGGATGAAAACGTGTATGTTTTTGTTTTTTTACAGACTGCTTAACTTAAGATTATAGATGGAGGGTGCATCTCAAAGTTTAAGAGGTAGTGCATTCCATAGTGAGGGTGCCAGGGTGCTGAAAGCACGTTCCCTGTAGTATCTGATAATGACTATGGGAGTTTGGAGGAGATTCATATCTATGGTGCGTAGATTACTAAATGTGAGAGTATGGCAATTTTTTTTAGAACAGGGGCTATTGAGTTCCAGATTAACTATAAAAGCTCTATCCCTTGTCTGTTTACTTGGTTCAAGGGACGGTAAGTGTATTACTAGTGGCTGATTGTGTATATTGTAAGTGTGCGAATGGAATAGATCACCTATGGCTAATATCTTATCTCTTCCTATTTAATTTCCCTTTTTCTGGTTGTTTTGCTTTTAAGCTTCATCCACCATTGTCTGATTGAAAAGATACAATTAGACAATACATTCTTTTAAATACTACTTCTTGAAAATGCAGAAGTCCCTTTTTTATTAATGTTTTTTTTTTTTTTTTTATCTTTGTTTTACATGCTATGAATGCTTTGGGAGCAACGCTTGAACAAGGCCTAAGGGCTTTATTTATGTAGTTCCCCATTTCATTTTCTAAATTTGTTTATGAGTTATTTTGTACCTTTTGTATCAATGTAATTTTTAATCGAGAATAAAATAAATGCAAATTGAAAAAAAAGTGATTCTTATAATGATGGGCATGATCGAGATCAAACACGACACAAACGTCTGTCCGACACCGTAATAATGGGTTCTTGTATAGCGCTCATGTCAGTCAGATTTGACCCTCCTAGCTGGCGCTCCCGATTATTACCCTGGCTTTAGCACGGCTGCCATACGGCACTCTAGCATTTCAAGGAATAAATTCATACCAGGTACCCATTTCAGGTTCTTCTAATTCTGGTAATCTTCAAAGGGCTATGCAGCCTAACACGAAGAGAAGGTTGATTTGTTTATACATTCTAGCTGTACAAAAAAGTATGTTTTGATATGGAAACACTTCAATTCGAATCATCTCAATGCGCATTTAGACATGCTAGAGCAAATTACCTTAAGCCACTTGTTGTTGTCGTAAAGGGCGGCGACCCATGCACCGGCGGATACCCATCCACCGGACCCCCTTGGAACGGAAACTCCATTCAGCCTTCCTCTGTAAGCTTCATGACCGGAACTCGTGATCGACGACGAGGTCAGACTAGAGTCTGGTATCCGACCATCTTCCACGCCAAGCCCCACACCGAGGACAGAAGGTGCGCAGCCTAATTTTGCATCGAGGTTCATCGACGCTGCAAAAAAGACGGGAAAAAAGAAAGATTCAGATACCCAACTGACCTTGGAACTAGCTTTCTTTCCTACTAACTTGCAAGGCAAGTTTGTCCTTTGAATATTTTTTTCCTTAAATGTGATCGGGAAATCTACCCTGACAACAAGCCATATGACGTATTAATACAAAACAGACGAGCAAGGACAAAAACAAAACAACAACAACGAATGGAGAAGAAGGAGAAGAAATGAAGGGAAAATCTTAGTTAATCAATGATTATCATGATTATGAAAATACAGTTATGTTGATTTTTCACGTGTTAATAAAACCTGCCATGCACATTTGTGCAATATTTTCCTGTATTGCTTGAGTATGAGTGTGGGAGGATGATTGTTAATAACCATAGGGAAAATTCCTCTGTGTAGGGCCATGCATTATATTATATTATGGTTCAAGCCATGCTCACATAGAAGATTAGGTTATAATAGGGGTCGGGGCAAAATGCAATGAATTATTGATAATTTATTGCATTTAATTTTTTTTTTAAATTTATTTGTGGGGGCGGCGACGTACTCTAGTCCCCGCTGTGTACAGTCATGATTCAGTGGCTAAGCAATGGCCTCGTTACTGTGAGCCCCCAGGATCAAAACCGTGTGGATGTGCTATATTAGTGCCCTTTTATGAGGCATTAACCCTCAGTATATTCTCATCCTTCATTATTCAGTTAATGACTCACAGATTACATCAATATCAAACTTTATGGGAAAGCCTGCCAGACCGACCAAGCCAGCTTTTATTCGAGTTGTATCTTCTTGAACAATCTTGAACAATCTTGTTATATAATGCCTTCTAATAAATGTTTTGAACATCAAATAATTTCAGTTTGCTCATTCTCGATTTTTAAAAATATCAAATAATGTAAGTATTCTTAACATTGCATGATTTCAATCTCAATCGTCAACGTTCACACCTAAGTATATACTGACGATGTATAGAACATTGCAAAACATGGCAAATCTTCCAAATAAAAATGATCTATTTGAATCTCTATACCACCAACAAAAAAACAAACACTAATCTATTGTTCTTTATTAAAATTTTCGATTGAAATTTGTGTCGTGTATTTGGTGTCTGACAAAGCTAGAATGGCTACCACACTCATTTCCCTCTCTTATTATGACTTTCTGAACATTCCTTTCCCTCTCAATACAATAAATTTCACCTGACTAAGTTATTCAAACCATCCCGGATCGTGGCGTCTCGCCACTCCTATTACGTAATCATTAAAAGGAACCGCATATACAATATTTTCCTGCTATACGTTGTACCGCAGGAAAATACAATTACTGTCAGTTTTGACTTAGGGACATGGGCCCCTATTTGATTAGCATAGTAGCATACACATGCTTTATCAGCCACGAAAAACAAACAATCACAAATTATTATTCAATAAAATCTGTGAATATATACTATTATCTAGATCTATTAGGAATGAATCATTGTCAAAATCAGTCCATAAAATGGGGTAAAAATTATTATTCCACAATTATGACCAATAATAATATAGGATTTCCCGGCCAAATTCGCGAGTTTGTCATTCAAATTAATTTTTCTTGCGTTCAAATTCGACGGTTTCAGTGCAGTCAGGTATATCTCGGGTTTATATTCCCTTTTCTAGTTTTCAAACCTATGGAATTTTCGTTAGAATCTACGTAATATGTTTCATTCAAATTAATGAACAATGTGCTTCTTTCGCTATTTAGTCATTCGATTTGGCGCAACACGATTTTCTGAAAACGCGACGGTGTACTTCTAGCATTCTAATTCATTTGTAGCATTCAAATTAGCACTTCGTGCACTTAAATCGATGGTCAATATACATTTCTCGTTCATTACACACTTTATATAGCTCATTTTTTTTCTTTCAAGATTTTTTTTTTTTCATGTGTATTTCATCATATTTAATTTCTTGCATTTATACACTTATACTTATTAGATTTATCTGATATTCATCAGCATTTAAGTTTGATTGTTAAGAAGAAAAAAAAAACGACTTGCATCTACGGACCTGATGGTCTCAGTATATTTGTAAATGTTCATGTAAGGAAGTTGTTTGTCTTATGTTTCATCATAAATTTATCATAATTTCATCATAATTTCATTATGGAAGAAGGGTACAATATTGTGACTGGGGTAGGGACTAGAGTCAACAATTTGAACATGATTCATTATTTAGCCATGTCTTTAGCCATCGATCTGCTGACGGGCAAGTGAACTATGAAACTCTTTAAGAAAAACAGAGGGGTGTGCTGGGTATAAGAGACGATATGAATTACTTTTGTAAAATTCCGAGTCTGTAGTAAATAGGGGCGATTGAGGGTACCCCACCTTTCCCGGGTATATGAACATGTCCGTGCAGAAATGTCATATCCCTTGATTTCGACCCTTCTTTACTTTATGTCTGACTACACCCATCTGCATTGTCCTGAAAATAAATAAATGGAATAACAGCTTAGACCCCAATGGCAAATCTTGCATTTTAACTGCATTATTTAAAAACTGTAAAAGTTTGTTGCAATTCTTCCCCCTAACATTTCTAACTTGAATAAAAAATATTATGAATACGAATGCCAGGTGTTAATTTGAATGATAAAAATTACGCTTGGACAAGTGAATATTAATTTGAATGCTGGTTGAGCAGTTTCGAAATTGAATGACAGAGCTATGAAACCCTTCGACCAAAATCCTAAATTAAATACAAAAACTGGAAAATTGAATGATAATTGGCATGGCAAAGCCGATCTGCGCTAACTTAAATGCAAAGTAAATGAATTCGAATGACAAATACGCGAATTTGGCCGGGAAATCCTATATATAATAATAATAATAATATTTAATTTTCATATAGCGCATGATACAAATGTCTCTAAGTGCTTTACAAATATACTATTACCCCGGTCATTGGATTCAGTGGATATATATATATATATATAAACCTTTTCTTTCAGTAGTCCTACTCTCCACCTACATATTCCATCAATTAGAGGTCACTTTAATTTGTCAGAAGTAAACTTTCTCTCTTATTAACAGTTCTACTGTGCACTTACCTATAGCATCAGTTAGAGGTCCATACCCATATAGCTCCATCCTCAAAGAAATGTAACCGTGATTGGTCTTTGGATGGATCCGGAAAGAGCGTCCAACTATCGGCCTAGCAAGCGTGTGAGTCACATGGCTATCACGGTCATAGTTTCCCGGAAATATCTATAAAAAAAACATATTAAGTTATATTGCAAAGAAAAGTCTCTCTTAATGAAGCTAATCGTTAGTTCATAACTCTATACGGCCTGTGCAGTAATACAGTGCTGACTACACACATTATGGCTTTGAAGAGCCAGTAATGATTATCATGGAAATAGATTTCTTTTGGCCTCGTTTTTTTCTTCTCATGGCAAGTCCCTATCTCAGTTTCCTGAACGATATTGTCTCACCTCCCTGGTCTAAAACAGCGAAGAGCTATCTGAGCTCCTGCGCTCGTTGTGGTCGGAACTTTCCTATTTACATGGCTTGATCAACTAATATGTCATTTTCGTAAGTTCTAATTCTTGTTTTTCATAATTCATTTTGGAAAATCCTGATTGGTTTGACAGATAAGTAAAGGCCTATAACTTGTTTATTGCTTTTTTTACACTCTTCTGCCCATTATCATTTTTTGTCACCTTTTATACATGAGACGAAAAATTGAAGTTCCTTCTCCTTCTTTCCTGTTCCCTAGTGTAGGAACTAAAAATGAAATATGGCATAATGTAAACTTATTGTGCATTTAAAAACGTCCACATCTCACTATCCTGAACAGTAATATCTTAAACACCGAAGAAGTGATCGGAACTTCCCTATCTGCATGACTTGATTTAATTCATTTTGAAAAATCCTTATTGGATTGTTAGGTAATCAAAGGCCTATATCATGTAAAACGAAAAAAGGAAATTCCTTTTCCCTCTTTACTGTTCCCCAGTTTTTGAACTAAAACTAAGATACAGCACTATGTAAACTTATTGTTCAAATTTTTCTCTCCAGGAGAGCTGGGGTATCTACTTTTGTTCATGATATTGATAATGGAATATGGAGGGTTTTGTTTTCTTTTTTTTTCTTTCATTTTTTAAAATCCCTCTATGTTAAACTGGAAAACTCTGTCTTTCTTTGGTTGTATTGTTTTTTTTTCTCCTTCAAAATAAATAAATTGATAACAATAATATAAATAACAATAGGAACTCGTTATATCAAAGCATTGTTTCATAAACTTTTACTTCAGCAAGACAATCCAAACGATTTTATATATAATAATAATATATACCATTTTTGTTTGTTTTGTTTGTTAGTTTTTATTTTCTTGTCAGCCCTGGCACAAAGAAGTTGTATTATAGTATAGCGATCAGTTTTCCATAGTCCCATGGAGTTCTTACGAGGTTACACTGTATATTTCTGAACATAAAGACCACCGATTAAGGTTCGTTAAAAATGTAAATAAGGAAACTGCAGTTCTGCATTTACCTCAACTGATCCAGAGTAAACGTTCAAATAATCAGTCCAATCTGTGTTGTCAAAACTAGAAGAAATAGTGTATGACGTCACCCACTGATCAGCGTTATTTCTACCCTGGGTCGTTATGGCCGTTACGATATAGCTGGACTCGAATTGGACCTGCATCCATTGGTATTGGTCGGCCGAGTAAGCGGCCCAGACTGTCGCAGAGTTCAGGCGGCCAGAACGGCTGCACTGGGACGCCGAGTAACAGGATGATTCGGAGAAAGCCGAATCGGGAAGAGCACCACTTTCAAGGCCGAGTGGTTGACCAGATATATTACACGGGTTTACTGTTGGAAATAAAGTCAAGAAATAATACAAGCATATTACAGAGTAATACTACGGAGGCATAGGAGTGCAAATAAAACACGAGAGTGAAAATTATATTCCATACCAAAGCATAAAAGTCATAAAACCATCAGTAAACACGGTGTTGGAAAAATGCAACGAGATTATGATATCTTAAAAAGCATTTTACCGTCGTCGGTGATATTTCGTAGGTGAGGTCTTTGTAGTATCCCCAAATCTTTTCTTAAATTTTATAAGGATGTACAATCTAAGTTGATACTACAGAGATAACATTTTTACAAAATGTAGTATTTTTTGCCTAAATTATTTTAAAGTTCATAGGACCACTAGGGGTAACTACAGTAGGTTAGCAGTGCATTTTTATCGAATATGGTCGAACATTTGTATAGATGTTGCCAATCTAAATATCTCTCCATTTTGTTAAACTCCCAGTACATGTAAAACAAGTTTTCATTTTGATAAAGTTTCACTGATGAAGTTACTCTTTGTCACCCTTGTGTAGACAAGGCATTATTAATATTATTCTCATCATCGTCATCTTAATCATCACCATTATCATTATTGATATTACTATCATTATTATTGCTATTATTAATACATGTATTAATATTTGCATTATTATTATTATTATTTGTCATCATAATTAATTTTATTATTATCGTTATTGTTATTATTACTCACCGGGGCAACACACAATGGAAATAATTTCATTCTCGTTTATCAGTCCCACTTTAATCTCACTGTACCAGCAGTCGGTGATGTTTGTGGCATTAGCAGGGCATATCACTGATTCGGCTTCAGCAGGAGCATCGACGGACGAGGACTCATACAGTGGACCGCTCACTGTCGCAAATACTCCTTGTTCAATAAAATTGAAGTAAAAAGTAGGAAACCAGAGTAGTCACAATAATGTTGTGAAGAAAACAGAAACAGAATATTCACTTTATCGGGTACCAAAAGAACGGATTTGTGATGACATACACCATATCATGTTGTATCATCAAGCAATCTGCTTACAATGACAGTCCTTCTTCCGCAAATAATTTCTAATGTTTAAGGATTTAGTATTTATGACAGTTTATCATTTCGTTTTTTAAATTAACAATTGTTACATATATTTTCCTTATTTATGATTCATTGTCAGAAATAAACTTTTTGTACTTTATATTAGTATTTTTATCGAAAAACTGTGTATTTACATGCATGCAAAGAAAAGAATATAAAATAAAATCAAAATATGCAATTTGGGTAGGCTCCCGAAACAAGAGTTTTGAAAACTGAAAATAATATGAGAAGAATTAAGGTTGACGAGGGAGAAAATCAACTATGAAATGGAATTTAAATCTCCAACTCGACCGTAATATAAATACTCCTGATCATGACACCAGTATTACATGTAAAAAGAGGAATACATCAATAATGAACTGAAAATAAGTTATTTTTTTTTAATTTAAAAACAAGAAATCAGAGTGAATAATAATATGTGTAAAAAGACTCAAACGCTTCCATGGAATCTCCAAAAAAGGGAAACAGTAAAGCAAGTCCACGCTCCAAAAAACCTTGGGTGAACTATAGCATCAGATGGAAACATTATTCATGAGATAAATGAAAGAATTACAATGACAAAGGGTACATTCAATCAATTGAAATCCGTAGTTGAACAAATAGAACATTACCATGAAAACCGAAATATGTAGCTTTAAGTCATTATACCTGATCCGTTTTTATTCTGCAGGTGTGAGTGTGACAATAAACAAAGAGCTTAGGAGAAGATTAAAGGCCACAGAGATTAGAAAAGATAACAAATTAAGAAAAGCACCCCTCATCAACACAATAAGAAAGAGGTAAATGTAATTTGTATGCCACATAATCATACAGAGAGGATAATTTAGAGGGAAAAAAAATTATACTATTAAGAGGGAAGATTGCTGAAAAGAGAAGCAATGGAAGCAACGCCTCACATATTTGCAAAGCCTGAAACAAACTTGCAACCAACAGTTAAATAAGCAATATCATTTATTTAAGAATAGTTGATAATAGACAGAAATGGAGGGCCATAGATGATATGGATAATGTCTTACCTTCAAACCCTAGATACTGACATGCCAGTTGGGATAAGTTCATGTTCCAATGATCTTGATGTACCAGCACGTACGTGTTAGGACTGGAGCTGGACGTTAAAGTTAGTGTTCCTTCATTTATCTTTTCACCAAGAAGCTTTAACGAATGGATGGTTACATCTATACAGTTTAAAATTAAAAAATAAGACAGATATATTGAGGGGAAAAGGAACAAAAATGGAACTCATTTACTGACTCGTTGAAACAAGTGTTAAACAAGACTTTACGGCGATGTAAAGTGGCTATACAATATACAAAAATTGTTTTTTAGAACACGTTTTGTGTTGATGTGAATGCAATTATATACGATTTGTGATCTACCACTCCCAAATTTACAGGGCCATTTGCTAAAAGGACTTATGATATGTAAATATTTAGGTGGCGTTTATAGAGAGTTGGCTACATTTCTTTTAGCACTTCATCAAATCGTATTTCTAGAGTTCCTGTGAAATCCCCCTCAGAACGCTTAAAGAACCACAGGGGATCACAATAGCACAGACATGGAGATCGACATGGTCATACGACCACATTTTTTAATGATTGTGTTCATCATACCACACAAAAAACATGTAGATTATTTCCAAAACAGTCAAACCTGTTAACTGAGGGTACCCAAGGGAATACTGGCCATTGTAGACAGGTGGCCTTTCTAGGCAGATCCTATAAAACACTTTTCTCCCCTAAGGGAGACAAAATACATGGCGATTATAGACAGGTGGCGTTTATAGAGAGTTGGCCACTATTACACACGATTGACGATATCTCATCTTTTGTATACTTAGCCAATACTTTTCCTCAATGTACACACAGAGAAATAAAAGGTATTCTTGGGGAGTAAAACGAAATTGGAAAAATAGGGCGCCCCCTATTACATCTTTTAGGCATAAAACACGGAAATACGCAAGGGTGTACAGAATAGTCATTTGAGGTTGTTGTTGGTAATAATTTAATGGCGTTCATTCAGTATTGAATATATACGCCATATCTTCAGTTTTTATAAGAAAATCAGTTATACATAAGAAAACTGAGAGTAAAGATGTGTAATGATATAATTATTAGTCAGTAATTAGTCAGTAATGCGATTTATTAGGAGTCTCTGGATGGTTTTCAACTTCGTGTTTCTTCTTTTTTATAAAAGTCATTTGAGGGGTGTAATTTTACACCCTACTTTAGTCAGACGAGCTCTGATTGGTCAATATATTGTAACAAATCAGGGCTTTGGTATTGGGAGGAATGGCGCATCGTGTCGATATAGGTACTGCCAAATGAAGGAAAATTAGCATAATTTACATATTTTAGTCATGTTGAGGGAATTATCATGTTTCATTCGGGCATATTATTTGTGTTGAATTTATCTGATCAAGAATAAGGGGTTGTACCGAAGGTTATATTTGGTAATTTAATGAAATTAGCAGAAGTGTTGTTTTACTAACTAGTACATTATTGCCTTCTTATACGTGTAAAGAAAGGGAAGATATTCAGTACAGTAGGCGTTGTGGCGTGCGCCTGTAATCCAGCTAACAGTGGAAGTTACAAACTGATTCAGCCGAGGACGCAGGTTCAAACCTGATTCACGTCTTTCGGATGGTGACGTTTAAAGGTCGGTCCCCAGACGTAAATAATCATATCTGATTGATACACGTCTGTAAAAACCAAATATACACACACAGTACAGTAGGATTGTGTATTAGGTATTGCCACTACATTTGGTCCGATATGTCCATCCAGGCCTGCCTCACCGAAACTAAATTTAAGTTGTTTCTTGCAGTCTGCACTTGTGTTGAGTTCACACTTACTGTTGTTTAGGTAAGCATTAAATCTTTTAGACATAATATAACTCGACATTCTGGTCTGATTTCTTTAGAGCAGTGAAACGTAGACAAAAGGTTGAGAATCAGTGACTGTTAGGTGATTACGAAGCATGGATGATTGATTGCTCGAGGGATGACCAATTAGTTGATGCTGTGCATCAGAGGGGTGTAGATTTACTTCCCACATGGTGTGGAATCGATCATATAGGGTATACAATTCAACCCAATGGGTCATATTGCTCCGTTTTGTCTCATTTCACAACGCCCCCTATCGTCGGAGTCAGCAGCCTAACATGTTAGCCTATTGACGTTTTTTTTTTTTAAATCGTTAAAAATTCATTTTTTGTTTAAACGAAAAGCACATCCACCCGACGTACGTTATCACTAGCTCTTTCATTGGAGCCCTCATGTCTCATTGACTTTTGAAAGTTCACCCACCGTAATTTTTCAAAATAGGTTGCAAGCTCGTCATTGCCTATAATGCACATGTGAAACAAGTCGAACTTTGTACTCAGTTTGCCATGCGATTTTAAGATTATAGGTCGAGCACACGAAAGATAAGAAGCATGAATTATTATAGATCACTTCTGCCTATTTCATTATGTCCATTTCATCCAACCCCCACCGTAATTTTTCAATTTAGTAAAAGTAAACATTTAGCCGAGGTGAGCAAAAACATGAATATTCATGACACACCATGGACTATTTGGTTATTAACAGAGGGGTGCAATCGGTCATCACGTCAAACTCCCCTAATTGCCACCAAGTATTTCGTATAATTATATAGTTTGGTATGTTTCTTTTACTCACTCATGAATTATTAAATATCAATGATAGTTTAAAGGGACTATGTCCCATTTGCAGGCCAAAAAAATGAAAAAGTTAAATTCCAACTGCATTTGAAAGATAATACTAATTTAGAACTTCCCTAAAAAAGGTGGGGCTTGAAAATGTCTTCAAGTGGGAAAATAACGACTATTAGTTGTCAAATCGACTTTAGGGCTATAGGGCCCAAAAGTAATAGTCTTGATTTTCAGACAATTGTACCAAATTTTCATACGTGTATTGCTGCACAAAGATTCAATCAGTTTAATCTTGGCCATCACAAGAAGTGGGTTATTGATGTAGACAAATGCTCATGTACCCTTTACAACTCTTTTCATTTATGTTATTACCAAAGAAGAAAAAAAGCCAGTCAGTCACTCAATAGTGTCTGGCAGTGAAGTCTAGCAAGTAAACGGTTTTCCTTGCATAATTTGAATATGAGGACACTGCTAACGTTTAAATTTCACAGATAGGACATACATGACATGTTTTCATAATTCCTGCAAAGTTCTACAGCATTTGAGGTTGGCTGCAAAAGGGACATAGTACCTTTAAAGAAATGTAAAAGAAATTTTAGTTGAAATTTATTAACAAAGTAATTTATATTAAGCAAAGCAATCTCACATACAAAATTACTATCAAGTGTCGTCTGCTACGCCGATCGTCGCCTGCTTCGTTAAAGGCACATATTTATCGTTTGGACTGTAAGATATAAAGTGAGATTTGAATTTTCCTGCGGTACAACGTATAGCAGGAAAATGTTGTATATGCGGATCCTTTTAATGATTACGTAATGGAAGTGGCGAGGCGGTTTGGTTTGAATAACTTAGGCAGGTGAAATTTATTGTATTGGGAGGGAAAGGAATGTTCAGAAAGGCATAATAAGAGAGGAAAGTGGGCGTGGTAGCCATTCTAGCTTTGCACCTACATCAGTACGAGAATACACCCGACGGCGCGGTGGCCTGTACTTATAGCGCGCGAACACATCACACCCAATGGCATACACCCGGTACCCTGCAACACAGTGGATTATTCTAAGAAATTGAACATTTATCTACAAAATGGACCTCTTGAATCATCTGAGAAGTAACTTACCCTATTCTGATGACTTCAATGAATGTCAAGATAACAATGGCTGCTTTTCCATCCAAAAATAAAACTAGTTTGCAATTAGAAATAGTCAATTTCTCGATAATTTCACAAAATATATTTGCCGCCGCATTCAATATGACGTC